TATTCACTTCTATTTTATGGGAGAGTTTATCCCATTCACATTCACAGTTATGATTATTATCTGTGTCTTCCTCTCCGTCCTATTTCCCTCCCCCCTCATTTATGCTTTTTTCTGTCCTTTTTCCCTTTCCCTCCTCAGTAGAGTTTTGGTTTCAACCACCATCCCCCTCAGTCTGCCCTCCCTTCTATTATCCCCCTCCCTTTTCTTTTCCCTTTACCCTTTCTACTTCCTAAAGGGTAAGTTAGATTTGTATACCTAACTGATTATGTTATTCTCTCTTTGAGCCAAATGTGATGACAGTAAGGTTCAAACAATGCTCAAAAAGTTTATGTTGTTATTGGGATTAATTTTTTCTTAAATATTGGGTAGAATTTGCTTGTAAATCCATCTGGTCCAGAGGATTTTTTTCCAGGTAGCTCATTTATGTCTTGTTCAATTTCCTTTTCAAGATAGAGTTATTTAATTATTCCATTTCCTCTTCTGCTAATCTGGGCAATTTATATTTTTGTAAATATTCATCAATTTTACAGACATGGAATTGGGCAAAATTACTCCTGATAATTGCTTTAATTTCATTTTCATTGGCAGTACATTCACCCTTTCATTTTTGATACTAGTAATTTGGTTTTCTTTTTTTTTTTTAATCAAATTAACCAAGGGTTTGTCTATTTTATTAGTTTTTCATAAAACACATAGTAGGATCTTAATAAATGCTTGTTGATTGATTGAGGAGGGCACACCTGGAGGGACTGGGCTAGGGCCCAGGGGTAGCCTTGAGGCTGTAGGTTCCCTATCTCTGGAGGCTGCTATAGGGTAAGTATATTCATGAGGCCTGAAATGAATTAGGGCCCTGAGTGACCAGGGAGGGCTCTATAAAGAAGGCAGCATCTGCTGAAATGGGAGACATATGGAGGAGCTGCAGGAGGAGAGACAACAGGGGCAGTGAATAGTTCACTTTGGTACTGTATAGGTGGTGGGTTGGTAGTACAACATGAGGCTTGGAAAGGTGCCTCAGTTCCAGAATGTAAAGTCCTCTGAACACCAGGAAAGGGAGTGTGACTTGATTGGCAAGTCATCTCGCTGTTTTTCAGTCCTTTGTTAAGTTTTGTGTTACTCTTGTTGTTCAGTCATTTTAGTCATGCCCAACTCTTCGTGACTCCTTTTGATGTTTTCTTGGCAGAGATGCTGGAGTGGTTTGCCGTTTCCTTTTCCAGCTTATTTGACAAATGAGGAAATTGAGGCAAACAAGGAGGGTCCCACAGCTAGTAAGTGTCTGAGGCCAGATTTGAACTCAGGAAGATGGGTTTTCCTGACTCTATCCACTGAGCTACCTAGCTGCTCTACCTACCTCTCTAGAGAACAAATATAAAGAGAATAGGTAGATAGATGGATAAATAGAGAGATAGATAGATAGATGGATAGATAGATAGATAGATAGATAGATAATAGATCAATCAATCAATGCAAGGTGATTAAACACAAGGTAGGGAGGGACAGTAATAATCATTGTAATGATAATAAATTTTATTTTATTTAGCAAGTGGATTCTGAGCTGCCAATGGGACATCCAAGTGGAGATGTCCCATAGGCAGATGGATTTGCAGGTCTAGAGCTAAGAAGAGAGGTCAGTCTTGGAGGTATAGATTTTGGAGTTATCAGTACAGAGGTGGTTGAAGGCATGGGAGTGTATGAGCCTGCCATAGTAAGGGCAGTTAAAAAAGAGAAAGGAAGAGTCATAAGGAAACACGCATAGGGAACACCCACATCAACTGGGGCCAGTAAGGCGCTAGAGATAAGAGAAGGCTTGATATCTCAATCCTACAACCTGTTACTAAAAGTTATAACACCTCTCTCTGTCTCTCTCTGTGTCTCTCTGTGTTTTTCTCTCTGTCTCTTTCTCTGTCTCTCCCCTCCCCTCCTTTTAGGGTCACTACCTACTCCAAAGAGTCGAGCGTCCAGGGAAAACACTGAGATGATCAAGACGTTGAATATGGAAGACTCTGGCCGTTTAAAAAGTTTTCAACTGGAGTCTCAAGGGTCTGAGGCCCCCTCCCAAAGAAAGAAAAACTCAGAAGGTGGCCATCTCAAAGCCTAGGAAAGGGACCTGTACTTTCATCAAGGATCAAGATTAATAATGATTGTCAGCATATGGATCACGTCTACACTAGCCAGATGAAATGCTCTGCTTATATGTGAAAGGGGGGTGGGGGAAGGAGACTTTCGAATCTTGAATCATGGGGGCTGCTCCGTGCCCAAAGGTCTCCAGCAGTACCATAGGGCTATGAAGGGAGAAGAGAAGGGGGTGAGGAGCCTTGGGCTCCTGAGTCCCTGCCAGGCCTTCTAAGATCAACAATATGTACAGTTTCTCATTTCCCAGTTTCAGACCTGAATTTAATTGTAGGTAAAAATGTCCCTTGGTAAGTCAGGTCTCACTGCCTGATCTTTTGTTATTGTTGAGGGGGGAGAAAGGGGAGAGAGAGTGCTTTGATAAATAGTTGACTCAAGGAGGCAGTTGGTGGCTGAGAAGTTAAGTGTCTCCTACATCCGTTATAATTCATTCATTCTGAAACTAGGTGACACAGTGGATACAGTGCCAGGCCTGGAGTCAGGAAGACCTGAGTTCAAATCTAGCTAGCCTCAGATACTTACTAGTGGTGTGACCCTGGGCAAATCGCTTAACCTCTGTATGCCTCAGTTTCCCCCTATGTAAACTGGGGATAATGGTAACACCTATCTCCTAGGGTTGTTGTGAGGATCAAAAGAGACAATATTTGTAAAGTGCTTAGCACAGTGCCTGGCACATATATTCTCTGTGTTGTAGATAAATCATAGTCAGGAGTCAATATTTTTTTAAAAAGATATAAGATAATTAGATGCTAATTTTATGACAACAATATGTTTCTGCTATGTCCTCTATGTCACACATCAAGGTTTAATGGTGAGAACTTAGTTGTATAAAATTTTGATTATCTATATTTTAAGAAAAACAACATAGCACAGATAGAAAAACTGCCTCAGAACCAGGAAGACCTTTGGTCAAGTTCTGACTTTGATACATATTGGCTGTGTCACCTGGGCTAGTCACTGAGCCTCTCCGTTCTCCGGACCATTCTCTAGGATTCTCTAGGAGCTCCACCAGCAAAGTTTCCTTATCCAGGGAACTCCCTGTACTAATGAAATCACAGCTCCCATCCCTATCTTATATTTTACACTTGGAATTTTTAAACCTTAGATTTAATAACAAATAAGCTCTGTTGAGGAGAGCAGGGCAGAAAACATAAAAAATTTGGTGCTCCAAGGGCAGTTAGGAGGCATCTTGGGAATAGAGGAGAGGGGAGTAGTGGAAGAGAGATGTGGGATGGTGCTTAAAACTCCAATATTATCTATTTCCTAATTTTGCCTAGGACCAACCCTGAGCACTGAGACCAAAGGTGCACAATTTCAGGCATGGGTTTCCTTGGGGCTAATCTACTAGTGACAAGTCTATTTCAGTAAAACAGATGTAACCCCCCCCAAAAAAAAATTTGGTCTAATTTTGTTGTTCAGTCACTTTAGTTTTGTCTGACTCTTCATGACCCCTTTTGAGGTTTTCTTGGTAGAGATACTGGTTTGCCATTTCCTTCTCCAGCTCATTTTACAGATCAGGAAACTGAGGCAAACAGGGTGAAGTGACTTGCCCAGGGTCACACAGCCAGTAAATATCTGAGGCTGGATTTGAACTCATCTTCCTGACTCCAGCTCACTGTGCCACCTAGCTTCCCATAGGTCTAATTCAGCAGTCTTATAGTAAGAATGTAAATTCCTCAAGGGCAGGAAGTATCTCGCTTCTTATACTTGGACCCCCCAGCAACTAGCACAATGCCTGGCACATAATAAGCATTTAATAAGTACTTGTTGATTAAATACCTCTGAATGTGTGTGTGCTGGCACCAGGACCAGCACAAAAAAAAATTAAACACACTTTCCGCCCCTAATTGAGGAGCTTACATTTCAGGTGGAGGCGGTAAAATAGTTACACGAAAGTATAATTCATTTAAACTATAAGTTTATAGGAAAACTCGTATAGTGGAAATAGTGGAATAGTGGAATGGTGGAAAGAGGGCTGGACTTGAACTGACTCAAGTCTTAGCTTTGCCATTTAGTGACTGTATGACCTTGGGCAAGTTTTTGTTCTTCTCCGAGTCTTAGTTTCTCCATTTGTAAAATAAGAGGGTTGCACTGGCCCAGCTCTAGGTCTCTGATCCTCTGACCTGTAAGGTCACTTCCGTATGTAAAGCTATGATTGTATGAAAGGTACAGATGGAGAGGAACCATGTGAGAGAAGTCTGGAAAAGGATGTAGTGGGACCGTGAATGCCAGTTTGGAGTTATTTGGTAGGTGATAGGGAGCTATAGAAGGTTTTTTTCAGTTGGATAGGGGTAGCAGAGGGGAGGGGTACCACAATCAGACCTCTATATTAGGAAAAGAGAACGTAGAAGCAGGGAGACTAGTTCGGAACTCCTCCAGTAGTCCAGGTAAGCAGTAATGAAAGTCTGACCTGGGGGGTAAGGGCGTGGGGTGAGGGTGACAACAGAGAAAGAAAGAAAGGGTCAAGGAGATGGAATTAACAAGACTTGGCAATTAGCTGGGTAGGAGAGGTGACAGAGGGGGAGACGCAGGATTGAACCCTCAGATACTAGCTATGTGACTCTTGTCAAGACCTATGGTACTCTGGGTTAAGACCTCCTGGGTCTCAGTTTCCTCATTTGTAAAATGAGAGGGTCGGCCTCCATGCCTTCCGAGGATCCTTCTAGCATTGTCAGTCTCTGATCCTATGAGGACGTTAGCTTTTAGCTTATGAGGAAGTTAAGCTTAACTTATGTTCTATGCAGTAACAAAATGCCATGAATATATCCACACAGAGAATGCATATTCTAGTGACTATAAAATCTTTTTAATTGTGTTATTTTTTTCCTTAAAAAAAAAAAAAACAACCTCACAAACCAACCTCCACGAAGAAGAAAGAAAGTCAAAAAAAGTTTCACCTGAAAAAAAGAAACCCGAATCACCAAAGTAAAGTATGAAATTAATTACCTCTCTTGAAACAGTTGTTATCAGAAGTCCATACCAAAGGACTATGAGGCGTGTGGTCAGGTATAAAAATCCAGCATGGCAGGATCTGCCGGGGGCCCTAGCAAAGCATTTGGGAGCCCACGGTCATCTCCCTGCCGTGATGAAGCATTAAAATGTGGTTTCAGTGCAGGCAATATTGGAAGGAGGGAATGGGTGAAGACAGCTCTGAGGTCGAATAGGGTGAAATTGAGAGAATTTAGGCTACGTTGCCTCCGTCATCCAGAGGCAAGGTCATATGCTGGATCCAAGGGGTCAAGATGGGGAGGGAAGAAACTGTGGAACAGTGAAGGAGAAGGAGACCAGATCATGCAGCAGAACGTGTCCTGCATCTCTCCTTACTGCCTCTGTGACCTCGGGCAAGTCACTTCAGTTTCCTTATCTGTAAAGTAATAGGATTGGTGTAGATAACTTCTAATACGTACTTTTCCAGCTCTAAATCTGTGACCCTATGATCCCATGATATCAGATTCAGTCTAGTAGAGCTCATTAGAATTTTTTCTGCTGACCTCGTTCCCCGTATCAGGATAGATAGATAACAAGCATTTATTAAGTACCTACTATGGCCCAAGCACTGTGCTAAGCGCTTTCCAAATATTATTTCATTTTATATTCACAACCACTTTGGGAGATAGATGCTATCACCCCCATTTTACAGATGAGGAAACCGAGGCAGAGGTAAAGTGAGTTGTGTAGGGTCTGGAATTCAGGTCTTCCTGACTCCAGGTCTAGGACTCGTCTGCACCACCTACTTGCCCCTAGGGGAGAGGAAAATGGGGGCGATGGGGAAGGGCGAATGCGGTAATGCAGAAATGGCATCAGGCAACTGTAACTAAGGTAACACATGGAGCTAGCGGTCTTCTGTTCCCCATGGGCGGCTCCAGGTAGTGCGCTCTGCTGCTCTCTACTGCCCCCAGTGGAGAGTCCTTGGTATTGCCCCGCCAATGAGGAGTAATGTAACTCTCTGTCATTGAGCACACTCTCTTTTTAACTGTGTCGAGGTCTTCTTACCTTGGAAAATGTATCCCTTCCCCTCCTGCCTGTTGCAGCTCGGGATTCTGCCCGTCCTCATCAGCAAGACCTTCTTGCTGAGGGTACACTGCTCCCTTTTTCTAACGCTTCCATCACCCTTTAATCACCTAAAGACTTAATCAGAATATCTGCTTCGGTTAACCAAAGCAAAGGATCTGCTTCTAGGGCTGTGAGTGTTCCTGTGACACATTCCAGGTTCGTGGACCTAAAGCTGGAGGAGACCTCAGCGGTCATCTAATCCAACCCCCTCATTTTACAGATGAGGAAACTGAGGCCCAGAGGGTTCAAGAGACTTTCTCAAAGTCACACAGGTAGTAAACTTTAGAAGTGGGATTTGGAGGCTGTTTCGTTTGACCCCAGGTCTAGTGACTCCAAAGCCCAGGGCCTCTACCTCTGTCCCACATTGTTCAGGTTTGGTAAACAAAAATAACAGACTCAGAGAAAGAGAAAAATGGGTGTAAGTATGCCAATATGTATAATACACATATAGTGAGATATATTGTTTATTCAATCTATAGTCATTCAACAAGCATTTAAGTGCCTACTATGTGCCAGAAAGGTTGGTAGGTGACCCAGTGGATAGAGGGCCAGGCCTAGAATGAGGAAGACTCATCTTCCTGAGTTCAAATCTGGTCTCAGGCTCTTACTAGCTGTGTGACCCTGGGCAAGTCATTTATCCCTGTTTGCCTCAGTTTCTTCATCTGTAAAATGAGCTGGAGAAGGAATTGGCAAATCACTCCAGGATCTTTGCCAAGAAAAACTCAAATCGGGTCACAAAGAGTAGACACAACTGAAAAATGACTGGACAACAACAGCAAATGTGCCAGGAATTTGCCTAGGTTCTGGGGATGCAAAGAAAAATGAAACAATTCTTGTCCTCAAAGAACTTAAGTAACAAAATGTATGTTTTCCTATTTGTGGATGTGCATTTGGATTCTCAGAGCACCTTGCAGTATCTCCCTTGCTCCCGTAAAGGTGCTTACAGATTGAAAAACACTACAAAAGGCATTCTGAAATTGCAGAGATCAGTGTGAACTGGAGGAGACAGGGCCATAACTAGGGTGTGTAGACTAGTGTCTAGCCTCAGGGCGTTGACATTCAGTAGGTGCAAAAAATTTTTAAATGATTTTTAAGTATTATAATTTTTTTAAAAATCTGTGACATTTCCTTGTTGACAACATAAGCATCCCTCAGTAGCCAGCTAGCCTAACCCATACCTAAATATAAATCCTCTCCATCGCATCCCCAAGTGGTCATCCAGTTTATGTGTGGAGACCTCCACAGAAAGGGAAACCTATGACCTCCTGGAGTAGCACATTCCATTTTTGGAGAGTGCTCATTGCTGAGAAGTTTTTCCATGCTTCATTGCACTTGTTACTTCATTTATTTCTGGAAGCTGCATTTTATATCAGAAATTGTGCTGGCTCCAGAGTCAGAGGTTTGGGTTTTGATACCTATGGTTTGTGTGAACTTGGGCAGGTCACGTCTCTTTCTGTAAAATGAGGGGAGAGGACTAGTTGGCCTCTAATAACTTATGCTTGCTTTTTTTTTCATTAAACTTTATTTGTTCAAATAACAAAAATATCATTTCTTTCCATTATTTCCACTCCCCTTGGGGGAAAAAAAAGAAAAATTAAACCCTTGTAACCAATATACATAGGCAAGTAAAGCTACTTCCAACATGGGCCATGTTTAAAAACATATACCCATTTCCTTTCTGTCTGGAGGTGGTATCCTGCTTTATCGATGGTCCTCTTTGAATCATGCATTGTGATCAGACTTCTTAAGTGGATCAGAAATTGTTTGTCTTTACAATGCTTTTGTTATTATGTAAATTGTTCTCCATGTTCTGCTCACTTCACTCTGCATTAATTCATATGAGTTTTCCCTGAAACTGTCTTTTTCATCATTTCTTACAGCACAATAGTATTACATAAGCCATAATTTATTCAGCCATTCTCCAATCGATGAGTACCTCCTTTGTTTCTAATTTCTTTGCCATAACAAAAAGAGCTGCCAGAATATTTTTATACATATGAGTTTTTTTTTCTCCTCTTTCTTTGATCTCTGTGGGGCATAGGCCTAATAGCAGAATTACTAGGTCAAAGGATATGCAAAATGTGATGATTTGGGGGGCATAGTTCTAAATTGCTTTCCAGAATGGCTGGACCACTTCAATAGAACACTAATAGGCTGGTACCATTTTCCGTTTTTTGGTCAACTTTGCCAGTCTGTTGGGTATGAGATAGAACTTCATGTCTCTTTAGTTTGCATTATATAATTGTTAGTGATTTAGAGCATTTTTCCCATATAGCTATTGATAACTTTTGTATATTTTGTAACCGCTGCTTTTTATGGTACTTTTTATGGTATTAGAGCTTGTAGAAAGAAGCCAGTAACCAGCCCACATGATGTGATCATTATTTGTCAACTGATAAATTGATGGAATTGAGGACATATTGAGTCATTGTGTCCCTAATAGACTAGGCAAGCTGCTGAAATGGTGTTGCTCCTTAGAATCCGATTCTTAAAGCACTACTAAATCAATTTCTATTCCATGACAGTTTTTTTCCATGAAAAAAAATAACTTGGTAAAAAAAGAAAACAACACAAGATAAATGGGAAGAAATGAGACGAAAGAGGCAGTAACTTAATTTTTCTTTTTTCTTTTTCTGGACAGGGCTGCAAGTATTAGCTCAGAAGACAGTTTGGATTTTGGTATTGATGAAGTAGACTGCGATTTGGTAACCAAATGATATTTCTTGATTTATTTAAATACTTGTTCAGTGGAAAAATCATGGACATATGTCTTCTTTTAAAATCTTACTTTTGGGGAATTTCAAACACTTCTCAAACTTTCTCTAAGGTTACATAGACATTCTCTATTTACATATAATTACAACATTGTTATCAGGACACACCTAGATGAAATGCATTTTTTTGGGAGGACCACAGATGACTGAAGAATGATCTTTCCATAAAACATGAGGGCCTAGGAAACACACTTCCGAGTGTCCTTTTCCCCTTTACTCTCCTATTTCCCTACTTTTCACCAGCCCTCTTATCTCCCTCTCTTCTTTCCCTTCTGTCTTAAACTCAGTTAAATTAAAATTTAAACTTTTAATCAGTGGATTAAAAGATTTGGGGCTTGAAAAAACCATAAATGTCACCTAGTTCAATCCTTTCATTTTACAGATGAGGAAATTGAGGCCCAGAAACATAAATTGACTTGCTCAAAGTTATATACATATTAAGTGGTACCATTAGAATTCAAACCAAGTTCTCTTTTCTTTCTTTACTTTGTTCCTTTTCCTTTCATGTGGTACCTTTATTTGATTAACAGATATCTATTGAGCGCCCACTATGTGTAAGGCACTGTGCTGGATCCTGGTACTGTCTCCACATGTAGCATGGGGGTGTTGTGTGACTTAAAGGGAAGTAAAATATACATCTTTAGCTTCTTCTTTCCCCATCCTTCTCCAAGAGAGACCTTAATTCCTGCCAGGAGGAAAAGCAGGAGGTTGGTGCCAGAAGTGGCCACTCCACTCTCCTCAGAGAGAGAGGGTACTGAGTTAGAATTATATCTATCTGCTCCCTTAAATATTATTAGTCTAGGGGATGTGATTTTCAGGTTTAAGTTAACTTCTGATGACTGTTTCATTATTGGGGGAGGAGGACTCCAAACTTTATATCTAAGACTTGACTCTTTTCCCACCAAGTACCAATTCCATAATAAATACATTTAGCAATTATCAAAGAAACTCATTTATCCAAATTATATCAAAACAGAAATTGGAGAAAGTATACATAGAAGGATTTATGCCAGACAATACAGAGAGAAGGAGCTATCCCATTGGGAGTTGGGTAACTCAGCTCATCCGAGAGAGAGAGATTTCACACAAGGGGAAGTTCCCTTGATGAGTACACACAAAATGAGTCAGGGACATGATGGAGATTGCCAGCTCCTTCCATGTCAGCTTCTTGCCAGAGTCTTCAGCAACCTGAATTAGGGTTGGCATCATTCATCTTCTCTCTGGAGGACCAGAAGAACCTGAAGCCATTGTAAAGGGCAAAGAGACTGAAGAACTCACTCTCTTTCTCTCTCTCTCTCATTTTTGCCACCTCCACCCCACCTCCTGACACAGGTGCAGGGCATTGTTCTCCACCAGTAAGAAGAGAGTCCCAGACCAACGGCCTTTGGGACTGCGGCCACATGGCAGTCAGAAGAAGCAATACAAGGACACTGTCAAGGTCTCTCTAAAGAACTTTGGAATTGATTGTGTGACACGGGAGATGCTGGTACAGGACCTCCCAGCATGGCGTGCCCTCATCAGAGAAGGTGCTGTGCTATATAAGCAAAGTAGAATTAAAGTAACTCCAAAGAAATGCGAGATGAGCAAGTTTAGAGAATCTACTCCAGATGCTCATATGGACTATTTGTGCCCGACCTGGGGTAGAACATTCCGAGCTCATATTTGTCAGCCGCGGTCGGAAGCTCTTTACCTTGACTCCAGCATAGGGTTGTCATTTTGGTCCTCTTTGTGAATGAAAGTCAACAACAACAATACTCTAGATACAAGGACAAAACCCCAAACAGTCGCTGCCCTCAAGAGGCTTAGATTCTTCCTTCACCCTTTTCCCCTCTAGACCATTCTGTATTCATTTTTTGCTGTTTCTTTATTCCACCTCTATGTCCCCCTTTCTCTCCTTTTACTCTTGTATGGGATGTGTTATGTACATATAATTGCCCCCCCTCCAATAAAAAATAAGCTACAGTAACTAGGTGGACCTAGAGTACGGAAGACCTGAATTTGAATCCTAAAGTCTTAGATACTAGCTATACACCTCTCAGTCTCAGTTTTCATCATTTGTAAAATGGAGAGCATAATTAGCACGTACCCTTCAGAGTCGTTGTGAGAAATAAATGAGATGGGGTTTGTGAAAGGCTTAAGTGCTAGCTATTTTTTATTATTATTTGAGGTTAGAGACTTTCATTTTTGTTTTTGTATTCTCAGGGTCTTGCATAGTACCTGGCACATAGTAGATGCTTAATCAATGCCTAGGGGCAGGCAGGTGACACAGTGTTTAGAGTACCACCTAGAGTCTGGAAGATTCATCTTCCTGAGTTCAAATCTGGCCTCAAACACCTACTAGTTGTGTGACCCTGGGCAAGTCACTTCACCCTGATTGCCTCAGTTTCCTCATCTGTAAAATGAACTGGAGAAGGAAATGGCAAACCACTCCAGTATCTTTGGCTAATAAATAGTAATAATAACAATAATAATGAATGAGGGTAGCTATGTGGCAAAGTGGATAGAACGCCAAGCCTGGAGTCAGCAAGACTCATCTTTCCCAGTTCAAATCCAGCCTCAGACACTTACCAGCTGTGTGTGACCCTGGGTAAGTCACTTCCCCCTGTTTGCCCCAGTTTCCTCATCTGTAAAATGGACTGGAGAAAGAAATGGCAAGCCACTCCAGTATCTCTGCCAAGAAAACCCCAAATGGGGTCACAAAGAGTCAGACATGACCAAAAAAATGACTGAATGACAAAATCAATGCATATTGATTGATTGATGCTCTCCATATCTGCCTTCTTTTTTCCTTCTCCCTGTTGTTCTATCTGCTTCTCCTCACCTTTCCCACTCCCCCACTTTGGGAAATTTCTTGCCTGACCAAATAACCACTTGATTACCCTTTCAGAATCCAGCCTCTTTTTTACCTGACTCCCCATCCCTGCCCAATACATCTCTCCCTCTAGCATCACTCCTTCACCCTGGTCTTCTTCTCCATGTTCTTTATCACCCATCACCAGGACCATGTTCCTCCACTGTGTGACATTGTTTTAAACTAAAAAAAAAAATCAGCCTGAAGCTAATTGTGTGCTTTATGGGGTAAGTCTTTAAAGAGGAGCACAACACTGTGTCTTTTAAAAATTGAATAGGAACCAGAGCTTTACTTCAAAGAACCAGAAGAGTTACTTCAGGTCCTCACCAAGCTGGAGGAGCAGAATCTTACTTTGGTACAATATTCCCAAGATATTGATGAAACTCTAGAAGATGTATCAAAAAGAGAAAAAGCTATACAAGATAAAGTGTAAGCCATCCAAAACAGGGAAGGAATTTCTAAGTTTGGTCCCAAATTTCTCATGTTCTTTTTCTTATCTAGGGTTGGGGTTTTTTTGTTTTTGTTTTTTTTCTTTTTTTGGTTTGGGTTTTTTTGGTGTTGTTTTTAAAAATCTAATAGGGATAGAAACTGGACCTATGATTTCATTCCTATAGGGAACTCCCAGAAGAGAAAGCTTCGTCTACCAATGCATATTGTTGGCAGCCTGTCTCTAACTTATAGCATTATAAAGTTATGTAGGGCACTGAAAGGTTACGTAACCTAGCCAGGGCCACAGGACTTGAGCCTTCATCATCTTGGTTCTGAAGCCAGCCTCTAACCACCACGCCACACTGCCTCTATACGTTGTGCCTAAGCTGCATATAATAATTATAATGGTCGTTTTCGGAGATTGGGGATTGGGGCCTGTCCACAGATGTGAAACATTGTGTATAATGTCTGATTTTTTTCAATGTATTAATAGATGTTGCTGAATGCTTTTCACTTTTTAAAAAATAAAATTCTTTGTTATAAGAAATATACCTCTAGCAGGCAGAGGGGGATAGATTCAGGGGGCAAATCTAGGTGATGTAAAAACTAAAGATATCAATAAAAATGTATTTTTAGGGGAAAAACAAAGAAAAAAATTCTAGTGTTTAGGGATGGTCCTAGGAGGAAGAGAATAGTCAGGGTTTCCCTAATGAAGGGTAAAAGACACTGCAGGTAACATCTTCTTGGGAGGTACATCTTCTTCTGGGAGTGTGGTGACAGAGAGCATAGGATGCCAATACTGAAAACAAGCTCACCAGTTGCTACCAACATCTTCTGATTTGTGTGGGAAGGAATGAGGTCACCAGAAGTCCTAGGCAGCAAGGTAGGGTCCAGGTGGTGATATTTTCATCATTTCTTCTTATTAAAGATTGTAAAGTGAATGGATGGCTATGTAGATGGCACCCAGCAAGATGTGTTTTTATGGATTACAGCTTCAGAGATTTGGAAGGCACTCTGGTCTAATTGACTGAGTTTGAAAGACCTTACTCAACTCAACTGTCCATTCATAAACCATATATTAGGGTGCAGCAATTTCTATGTCTAATTAATTTAGTTAATTCTATGTCTAGTTATTTCCTTTGGTTCTTCTTAGGTAGAGGGTGAGAGTTTTTAATCTTGTCCCCCAGTTCTGGAAATTCACCCTATTAAAGCTCTGTATTCATGGATTACACTGTCTTTTTCTTCTTTTGTAACAGGAATAGCAGCATAGAAGCTCTATTGGATCAAAAAGAAATGCTTAAGAATAACTGTGCTCGAGAAGAAGAAAAAGCAGCAGAATTGGAATTAAGATCGAGGCTATTTAGTTTTGGCGAGTTTAATTCAGAAGTTCAGGTAATGGCTTACACTTATAGAGAGCCTAGCTTCTAATTCCTGTATACAGTTATTTATCCCTTCTACATCGAGGAACAGGCGCTGCCTCTTTTCCCCCCTCTCCTCCAGTGTTTTGGAAAATCCTGGTGAAATTTTTTGAAGAAGTCTGATTTTTTTTTCTTTTTCTTCTGTGGAGTGTTTACAGTTTTCTTGTAAAATGTGGGTTAAGTATCTGGTCATAGGCTTTATGTTGTCTGTTGGCCTTTAAATGTCATCTGCGGCTTCCACAAAACTCTCCCAAAATTCCCATTTCATTTCTATTCTGATCCACAAGATATTGAAACCCATGATGTGGAAGGGATAACTGCATACACGATCTAGAGAGAGTTTAGTACAATAGCTTGGAATCAAAAGACTTGATTTTAAATCCTAGCTCTTGCCATTTACTACCTGTGTTATGAGCAACTTACTTCGCTTCCCTGGGTCTCGGTTTCCTCAGCTGTAAAATAAGAGCCTTTGAGATAGCTTCCATCTCTTCTGAGAGTTCCCTATGTGAATGAAATCATAGGTTTATGATCCTATGATGGTGTGGTGTTCAAGAAACCCCCAAATCTACCTTCGCTAAAAGAGAAAGTAAATTACCTTGGTTTTAAAGTTTTCCATGGACAATCCAGACAGCCACAAGAGAGTTGATTATAATTATATATATGGTTGTAACATGTTTGAGAGTCCACTTACACGAGTCTGAAATATATAAGCCTGTGGATTGGTGTTCAAATATCTAATTAGAAGAATGTCTTTTGTTGAAGGTTTTTTTTTTCTATGAAATTGAATTTCTCTTTAATCCAGGACTTCTTAAGATGGGGTCCATGAACTTATTCTTTTTTTAAATTTTGATAATTGTATTTTAATATAATTGGTTTTCTTTATATTCCTATGTATTTTACTTTATGCATTTAAAAACATTATTCTGAGAAGGGTTCCATAGACTTCACCAGAATTCCTGAAGGGTCTGTGACACAGAAAGGTCAAAAGCTCTGCATTTAATCAGGTGGTATCTGCCAGGTTTGGTTTTCAGACCTCTGGTTATAGGCAGTATTACTTTCCCTGATAAAACCAACAAAGGGAAAGGGATTTTCATCCCTCATAGGACTAATCACATTTAACTGAACAGATCGATTTATTTCCACCCAATTCAAATCAGTAAACATTTAAAGCATGCATATAAAAGGGAGGCACATGTGACACAGTGGCCAGGATGGATTTGGAGGCAGAGGACCTAAGGTTCCCATCCTAATTCGGCCACTCACTCCTAGTGTGACCTTGGACAAATCATATCACTTTTCTAGGGCTCAGTTTCCTCATCTACTATGAACTAGATGAACCCCGAGGTTCCTTGCAATTCTAAAATCCCCTGATCCTCGGCAGGTGCTGCGTTAGGTGCTGGGTCTACAAAGTTAAAGAGGACACAGCACTTAGCACAGTGCCTGACTTTTAATAAATTCTAACTGACTGATACAGACCCTGCTCACTTACAATTTTATGGGGGTGGTTGGAGGAAAGTATTTGTAAAATCGCTGAATTTTTATGAGAATTTATGGGCATCTTTTTGTAGGAATCTTTATGAGGTTTTACATAGAGTAGAAGGAAAGTGATTGACCCCACCCCATCGTCCATGAAGGAAACCACCAGAGGGAAGCTACATATCACCACAGCCCTCATACACCTCTTGGAAGTGTGGACTAGATTAGGGAAGGTAGATGATCGCCACAGATACTGCTAACTAGACATAATTCCAGAAGCATATTGGCATTGCTACTTAATTTTCCCATGGTATTTTTAATAGAATCTGAGTTTACAAGTTGCCCGTTGACAGTGAGTCTCTCCTTGACCCATTACTCTGGTTCAGGGAAAAGTAACAGAGAGGCAGCTAGGTGGAGTAGTAGATAGAGCACTGTACCTGGAGTCAGGAGTTCCTGAGTTCAAATCCAACCTCAGACACTTGACACTTCCTAGCTGTGTGACCCTGGGCAAGTTACTTACCCCTGATTGCCTCACCAAAAAAAAAAGAAAAGGAGAAGAGTAGAATTGGAAGAGATTCCTATCCTCTTCATTAATTTTAACAAACACATATTAAGTGCTTACTATGTATAGAGTACTGCCCTCCCTACTGGGAATATAAAGATTAAAGTCAAAATGACATATTCCCTGACCCCAAGGATCTTACATTCTGCTTGGGAGGTCAGAGGAGGCATTATAAAAAAGTTGCTTCTTGAGCTGAGCCTTGAAGGAAGGTGATAAGGATTTTGAAAAGCGAAAAATGAAAAGAGTATGTATTCTGCTATAGAGGATGGTCTGTGCAAAAACATAGAGATGGGAGATTACGTGTCAAGAGCTGTTAGGTTCAGTTGGACTAGAATAGAAAGTGTATAAAGGGAAGTAAACTGAAATAAGACTAGAATGGTGCCAGCTTGTGGAAGACCACAATTAAACTAAATGTCAAACTAAGACCAAACTTTATAGAATTAGCAATAGGATACCAGCAGACAAATGACCCAGTTAGACCTAACCCATTAAGAAAATTCCACTTCTGTGAAAGGGAGGATTGAAGGCAGGGATGTGAATTAGAAGCTTATTGTGATAGTTCAACAAATAGGTCGGGGGAAGTTTGATGGGAAAGACAGGACTGGCAACTGATTAGAAGGGGAGAAGAAAAGGTTGAAGATGATTACAAGGCTTCAAACCTGGCTGAGTAGGAGGATCTTAGTGTTGTCAGTAGAAACAGGGGAGTTGGACAAAAGGTCCACTTTAGAGAGGCCAATTAGTTTAATTTTGGACATATTTAGTTTGAGGTATTATCAGGCAAATGCTTGTGCAACAAGTAGCTGGAAGTGTGGGACTGGAATTCAAAGGAGAAATTGGGGTTAGTTAGATAGGTTTGGGAGTCACTTGTATAGAGATGATAATTGAATTGAACCCATAGAATGAAGTCACTGAGAGGGTGTGAAGAGAGAAGAAAGAGAAGAGCACCTAGATTCCTCAATCATATGGGGTAGGATGGAGCTGAAAATTACTTTTTAAAAATCCTTATAGTTTTGGTGATAAACCCAAACTTTTCCACTCTCCAACCTTCCTTTCAAAGCCCTATTTTTGAAAATTCTTATAGTTCCAGATTTTTCAGTTGGAGGTTCTCATATTTGAATATTGGAAAGAGAACTTGTTTTGGAATCAGAAGTTTTCCAAAATCTGCGTCAAGTTTTCCACTTTATCCCAACAACTTTATCAAGTAAAGTTAAAACTCTGGAATTAGAACATCTTGGTTCAATATTTTTGTTCAAAATATTCTTCAGTTGTCATCTTTTTTTACTTTTGAGCCATGATTGAGAATAACCCAACTTGTTACCATAGAAATCACATGTATTTAATTATGAAATTGATTAAACTCCATTTCTACAAGAGTTAAGGAGGTACTCAGATTTTTTTGTGCTGAAATTTCATTGTATCATATTCAACAGATTCAACTGAATTCCTACTATGTGCCAGGTACTTTGCTAGATCTTAAGGATACAAAAACAAAATGACACAGCCTCTACCCTTAAGGAGTTTATTATTTCAATGGGGTAGACAACATATATGAAAGGTTTCAGCTGCCAGTCAAATGCTCATGCAACTTGATATGCATTTGTTAATTAGTTACATTGATAATGAATCTTTATGCTTTCTGTCACCCCTTTCTTTTCAAACGTAGGAAAAACTAATTGACTCCCTAAGTAGAAAAGTCAACCAAGTGTACAAGGTCTGCATTGGAGAAGTGGATATGACCAACCTCAGCCCAGTTCAAAAGTTGGTTAAAGTAGAATCTCGGCTGGTGGAGCTGAGTGACCTGATTGATTCTGTTCCTAAAGAAAGCATCGATGTCATCGAAAAAGCGAAACAGAGGGAAAGAAGACAAAAGTACGGTCTTTGTCTTTTGCATTCAAAACAAGTAAACTTATTATTGACTTAAATTCTGCATGTTTTTTTTGGTAGGGTTTAGACACGGAGATGGCTAGAGCTACCAGGTTTGAATTCCAAATGAGGGAGAATATACATCCATCCACTGCTTCTGAATTCACTCTTCCACCAAAGATTTGCTCCTTTGTCTTGTCATCACTTAGAAATGACTATTTGTTTTGGAGAGTGTAAGCTCTGGTAGATTCTAATTAATCAATATTTAATAAGCATTTACTATTTGCCAGGCACTGGTGGGCTGAGCTGGAAAGTTTTGGAATTTGGCCCTCAATGGGAATATATGACTGCTGCCCAAAGACTGACTTAGATAAATTTGGAGACACTCTTCACTAAGTTGGCTACTGAGTGAGGAATTTGGGGGCCATGGTAGCTCCCAAAACCAACTCTCAAGTCATTAAGGGGTTGCAAGCTGTGTCAGTGAAGGGAATATGGTGAGGAAACAATAGATCCTCAAATACTAACACATCTAAGAACTTATTAGTAAAATATTCTTTGGGCAGAATTTCCGAGATCATAACTGGAAGAGTGGATAGAATGCTGGCCTTGAAGGCAGGAAAACCTGAGTTCAGATGTGGTCTCTGATATTTAAAGACACTCGATCACTCTGGGCCTCAATTTTCTCATCTGTAAAATGAGGAGCTTGACCTAGATGACCCTTCCAGGTCTAAATCTATGTTCCTATGAACTATAAAAATCCAGGATAGGAGTGAAAAATGTGTACTATGTCAAGTACCCCTTTCATGGTACTGGGTTTTTAAGGAGATGTAAGAGAGTCTTGGCGTTTCCAGCTCTCATCATCGGAAAGGATCAGTATTTGAGTGTAGTTCTTTGCACTCAGGCAGGTCCTTGCTAACTTTTTTTCCCTCCAAATTCTGATCTGGATAGGTGGGTGACAAAAGCTTTACTTCCTATATAATTAACAGTCTTCCCTGACCACCACATTTTACTAGCTCGGCGTAGTGTGAAAATTGACTTTAGAGTAGGGGCAGCAGAAACAATCTCACCCTGTTGTTGCATCTGACCTCCAGAATGTTGAGTTGTTTAGTCATGTCTGACTCTGTGACCCATGGACCATAGCACAACAGGACTGTCTATCCTCCAGTGTCTCCCAAAGTCTGTCCAAGTTCATGTTCATTGTTTCCATGACACTATTTATCCATCTCATCCTCTGTCGTCCCCTTCTCCTATTGCCTTCAATCTTGCCCAACGTCAGGGCCTTTTCCAACGAGTCTTGTCTTCTCATTACGTGGCCAAAGTATTTAAGCTTCAGCTTCAGTATTTGACCTTCCAGTGAATAGCCTGAATTAATTTTTTTAAGTATTGACTGATTTGATTTCATTACTGTCCAAGGGACTCTCAAAAGTTTCTAGCACCATAATTTTGAAGTGTTGATTCTGCGGCACTCAAGTTTTTCTTTTAGTCCAACTCTTACAGCCATACATTGCTACTGGAAAAACCCTAGCTTTGGCCAAACAGACCTTTGTTGTCAAGGTGATGTCTCTGCTTTCTAGTAAGCTATCCAGATTTGCCATAGCTTTCCTTTCAAGGAGCAAGTGTCTTTTTTGGTTGCAGTTACCATCTACAGTGATCTTTGAGCCCAAGAATATAAAATCTGATACTGCTTCCAGTTCTTCTCCCTCTATTTGCCAGGAAATGATGGGACCAGTTGCAAAGATTTTAGTTGTTTTTTTTTTTAATGTTAAACTTTTATACTCTCCTCTTTAACCCTCATCAAGAGGCTTCCTAATTCTTCTTCACTTTCTGCCATCAGAATGGTATGATCTACATATCTGAGATTGTTGATATCTCTACTGGCAATCTTAATTCTGGCTTTTGAATCATCCAGCCTGGCATTTCACGTGATGTATTCTGCATACAAGTTAAATAAATATGGTGACAAGATACAGCCTTGTTGTATTCCTTTCCCAATATTTTTGTTGTTGTTGTTGTTGTTGTTGGAGAGCTGGGGAGACCACAGGTGTGAAATGTTGTTTACACTGTCAGATGTAGTCATTGAGTTGGCTTTCTTTTTTTTGTATTTTCTATTTTATTAATTTATTTATTTTTAGTTTTTAACATTCACTTCCGCAAGATTTTGAGTTCCAAATTTTCTCCCCATCTCGTCCCTCTCCCCACCCCAAGATGGCATGCATTCTGAATACCCCTTCCCCCAATCTGCCCTCCTTTCTATCTCCCCCCCTCTTCTCTTATCCCCTTCCCCTTCTATTTTTCTGTAGGGCAGGATATCTTCTTTCCCAGTTGCATGTGAAAACAATTATTAACATTTGTTTTTAAAACTTTGGGTTCTAAATTTTCTTCCTCCCTCTCTACCCACTCTCATTGAGTAGGCAAGCACCTTGATTCAGGTTAGACATGTGTCGTCATGTAAAACACTTCCATAGTAGTCATGTTGTGGAAAACTAACCTATATTTCCCTTCATACTATCCTACCCCATTTATTCTACTCTCTCTTTTGACCCTGTCCCTCCTCAAAAGTGTTTACTTCTGATTACCCCCTCCCCCTATCTGCCCTCTCCTGTATTGTCTCCCTGCTCTCTTATCCCCTCCCCCCCTATTTTTCTGTAAGGTAAGATAGATTTCCATACCCAATTGAGTGTGTATGTTATTCCCTCCTTAAGCCAAATCCAATGAGAATAAGATTCATTCATTCCCTCTCACCTTTCCCCATTTCCCTCCACTGTAAAAGCCTTTTCTTATCTGTTTTATGTGAGATAATTCACCCCATTCTACCTCTCCCTTTCTCCTTCTCCCAGTATAATCCTCTCGCCCCTTAATTTTATTCTCCAGGTATCAGCCCTTCATCTTCAATTCACCTTGTGCCCTCTCTCTCTCTCTCTCTCTCTCTCTCTATCTATCTATCTATCTATCTATCTATCTATCTTATCTATTTATATACATAATTTTTTCCCCTCCAATTACTGTAATACTGACGAAAGTCTCATGAGTTACAAATATCATCTTTCCATGCAGGAATGTAAACAGTTCAACCTTAATAAGTCCCTTATGATTTCTCTTTCCTGTTTACCTATTAATACTTCTCTTGAGTCTTGTATTTGAAAGTCAAATTTTCTATTCAGCTCTGGTCTTTTCAGCAAGAATGCTTGAAAGTCCTCTATTTCACTGAATATCTGTTTTTTCCCCTAAAGGATTATACTCAGTTTTGCTGGGTAGGTGATTCTTGGCAGTAATCCTCTCTCCTTTGACCTCTGGAATATCATATTTTTAAGCCCTCTGATTCTTTAATGTAGAAGCTGCTAAATCTTGTGTTATCCTGATTGTGTTTCCACAATACTTGAATTGTTTCTTTCTGGCTGCTTGCAATATTTTCTCCTTGACCTGGGAACTCTGGAATTTGGCTACAATATTCCTAGTTTTCCTTTGGGGATCTCTTTCAGGAGGTGATCAGTGGATTCTTTCTTTTTCTATTTTACCCTCTGGTTCTAGAATATCAGGGCAATTTTCCTTGATAATTTCTTGAAAGATGATGTCCAGGCTCTTTTTTTGATCATGGCTTTCAGATAGTCCATTAATTTTTAAATTATCTTCCTGGATCTATTTTCCAGGTCAGTTGTTTTTCCGATGAGATATTTCACATTGTCTTCTATTTTTTCATTCTTTTGGTTTTGTTTTACAATGTCTTGATTTCCCATAATTTCACTAGCTTCCATTTGCTCCATTCTAATTTTTAAGGAAATATTTTCTTCAGTGAGCTTTTGGACTTCCTTTTCCATTTGGCCAATTTTGCTTTTTAGGGCATTCTTCTCCTCATTGGCTTTTTGGACTTCTTTTGCCATTTGGGTTAGGCTATTTTTTAAGGTGTTATTTTCTTCAGTATTTTTTGGGGGTCTCCTTTTTAGCAAGCTGTTGACTTGTTTTTCATTATTTTCTTGCATCACTCTCAGTTTTTCCTCTACTTCTCTTACTTGCTTCTCAAAATCCCTTTTGAGCTCTTCCAAGGCCTGGGACTGATTCATATTTTTCTTGGAGGCTTTAGATGTAGGAGCTTTGACTTTGTTGTCTTCTTCTGGGTGTATGTTTTGATCTTGTCACCAAAGAAAGATTCTGTGGTCTGACGTTTTGTGCAGTTTGCTCATGATCTCAGTCAATTACTTGAGTTATAAACTCTTTGTCAAGGTAGGAGTCTGCTTCCAGTGTGGAGAATGCACCGTCCCGAGCTTCAGGGTTTTTGTGCAGCTGTTTTCAGAGATACTTCTAGGCACCTGTAAATTTTCCGTTCTTCCAAGGTGGTACGATCAAGGGCAAGGTGTTTACTCCTTTCCTGGCCTGTACTCTGGTCTATGAGTGACCACAAGCACTCTTTTCTGCCTTGGAACTGTGAGCAGGATTCACTCTCCACTGCCACTACAAGCTCCACCTTGCTAGCACTCCTCCTCGCCCCAGGACTGCCACCCAGAACTGTTCACAGATCCAAGCATAGGCAAAGCAAGAGAATCCTGCCTCAGCACCAGCAAAGAGTTCCCTGTAATCCCCCTCTGATGAGCCACTCGATTCCCCTTCTGTCTGTGGGTCAAGCTCCAGAAGCAGCCGCTGCCCTGTAGATGTGTTGGCACTGAGGCTGGGACTGAGCTTCTTTCTCACAGCAGTCACAGACCTCTCCTACTGACCTTCTAAGTTGTCTTTGGTGCTTGTGGGTTGAGGAGTCTGGAAACTGCTACAGCTGTCTGTGATTTAGTCCTCTGAGGGCTGCTCCAGGTTTGCTGAAGCCTGGTCTTTGCCTGTGCTCTCGCGCTGAACTATGTTCCTCTCCCAGCCTGGTGCAATAGACCTTTCCAATCAACCATCCAGGTTGTCTTGGGCCGGAAATTTGTTTCACTCTGTCTTTTTGTGGGTTCTGCTGCCCTAGAATTTGTTTAGAGCCATTTTTCACAGGTATTTGGAGGGCTTTGGGGGAGAGCTCAAGCAAGTCACTGCTTTCACTCCACCAATTTGGCTCCACCCTCCTTCCTTTCCCAATCTTAAACCAATCAGTTGTTTCATGTTTGGTTCTACCTGTTGTCTAACCCGCATACAGGTTCCTTGGGAGACAAGTAAGATGATCTGGTACTCCCATCTTTTTGAGTATTTGCCATGTTTTGTCGTGATCCACACCATCAAAGGCTTCAGTGTATCAATGAAGCAGAAGTAGATGTTTTTCTGGAACTCCCTTGCTTTCTCCATAATCCCGCAAATGTTGGCAATTGTGGTCTCTAGTAACTCTGCCTCTTCAAAAAACCAGCCCGTTCTGGTAATTCTCAGTTCACATTTTGCCCAAGCCTACCTTGCAGAATCTTAAGCATAACCTTTTTGGCACAATTGTTCCTTAATTTGAACATTCCCTGGCATTGCCCATCGTTAGGATTGGGATTAAACTGATCTTTTCCAATTCGGTGGCCACTGTTGGGTTTTCCAATTTTGCTGGCATATTGAGTGCAACACTTTAACAGCATCTTCTTTTAGGATTTTAATAGCTCAGCTGGAATTTTGTCATCTCCATTAGCCTTATTGCTGTTAGCAATGCTTCCTAAGGCTCTCTCAACTTTATGCTCCAAAATGTCTGGCTCTAGATCAGTAACTAAACTACCATGTTTATCAGTGATGTTGAGATCTGTCTTGTATAGTTCTTCTGTGTATTCTTGCCACCTCTTCTTAATATCTTCTGTTAAGTCCCTACCATTTTTGTCTTTTAGCATGCCCATTTTTTTTATGAAACATTCCCTTAATATCTCTAATTTTCTTGAAGAGATCTTGTTTTTCTCATTCTATTTTTTTGCATTGCTCATTTAAGAAAACCTTTTCATCTCTCCTTGCTATTCTCAAATTCTGCATTCCATTGGGTATATCTTTTCCTTTCACTGTCCTTCTTTCCTCAGCCAAAGCCTTGTCAGACAGCCATTTTGCTTCCTTGCTCTTCTTTTTTCTTTGGAATTTTTTTGTTGCTGCCTCCTGTACAATATTTTTAAACCTCTGTCCATAGTTCTTCAAGGGCTCTATCTCTTAAATCTATTTATCACCTTTGCTTCATATTCATGAAGGATGTTATTTAAGTCATACCTATATGGTCTGGTGATTTTCCCTATTTTCTATAATTTAAGTCATTGTAAATTCACCCATTCCTATCCATTTAAGTTCACTGACAGCCTCAGTTAATTTTCCATCTCCTGTTTGAATGCATCCATCTAATGTTGGACATTAGCATTCTGCAGGTCTTGCCTTTTATCTGCTTTATCTTTCTGTTCTGTTCTTTGCTGTCCTATTCCTCACAGTGGCTGCTTAATACCTCTGCCTGTACCCACACCCTATTAGACAGCAGATGACTTAGCCTCCCTATCAGAGAGGTGATATCACAGGAGCCTCAGTAGCATCAGTCCCAACAAACCTGACAAAGCCAGGCAAATGTGGTAAAAGTAACTAGAAACTGACATTTTTTCCTCAGTTGGCTTTAAAAAAAAACAACAAAAACACCTATTAACAAGATGACAAAAATGTGCTGTAACCATGGCTCTTTTTGAAGGAGGCCGTAAATAGTGTTAAACCTGGAGTCAGGAGGACCCAAGTTCAAATCTAGCCTCAGACACTGTGTCACCGTGGGTAAGGCGCTTATCCCTGTTTGCCTCAGTTTCTTCATCTGTAAGATGATGTAGAGAAGGAAATGGCAAACCACTCCAGTATCTTTGCCAAGAAAACCCCACAAAGAGGTCACAAAGAGTCCAATGCAACTGAAGATAGACTGAACTCCTGAAATTTTTCCTGTTTCGAAAAATCTTTATGTAGCTGACTATATATATATATATATATATATGTTATATATGCGAATGTTATTATCAGGTAGGCCACAATCCTGAAAGCAAGCTCCCTAGGGGCAGGGTGTTGCTGTCCATTGTATTCCCAGCACTTCAGTAGGCACTTAATAAAATGCTTGTTGATTTGGGGAAATTGTTGCCTTTGGAAGCCAGAGTTATAGCCAGTATTTTATATTTGTTATTTTTTCACTTTTCAGGTCTTCCTTTTTTGGGGGGGGGGAAGGGAAGAGGAGTATTATCTTTGTCATTTCTTATGGTGCAAGGCTTCATCAGACACATGCCACAACTTGCTTAGTCATGCCACTAGAAATACATGAGTTTCTAGTTTCCCACTCTCATTATCTGAGAATATTTTTATAACGTGGGTCAAAGGTAAATCTGATGCTTTTCCAAATGATGAAAAGCAACAACTTCCTATGTAACAAAAACAGTATTTATTCTTAGCAGCCCCAGTGTTCTTATAGCAATTTACAGTTACAAGAACAATTTTCCCCCCTTATAACAGAATGCGTGAAGAGAAATTGAGAGAAAAGCAGAAATCCCAGGAAGAAAAAATAAGAATTGCCTTAGAAAGAGCAGTGTCAGAACCAAAGAGAAAGGTTAGTGTTTTGTCAATACTCGTTACTTTTTTTTTTTAACCAATCAGGAGAAAAATATCTTAAAAATGTTTTGAGGATTTGTGTCCTAGCTTTACTATTTACTAGCTTTGCAACCTTCAGCAAATATTGAGGGCAACTGAAGTTTAGAGTTATCTGCAAAACAGACACAATACTTATATAACTGTGCTCACTTTGGCAGTAGAGGTGCCAAAACTGAAATGATACAGAGAAGATGAGCATGGCGCCTGCACAAGGATAGCCTGCAAACTGTAGAAGTATTTCATATTTTTGGGAGGGAATTTGAAACTCAAAATGAAAAAAACTAATGTTTTTAAAAAAAAATGCTTGTAACCTTATATAGTTATGGTGAAATAGCTAAATATACTTTATAATTTTGGTAATTTATATTTTAAGTGTTTCTGGAATGGCAGGTGTTACTAAAGTAATTTTATATTATTGTACAGAAGAGAATTATGGACAGAAACATTAACTTTTTTTTCCTTTGCTACAGACGGGAAGGAAACTTGTATATCGTTCACAACCTATAACGGATGTCAAAAAAGAAATACATTTTGTGGATGACACAAAGTCAAAATTACTGGAGGATCAGTATTTTTTTAGTTGAACAAAATCAGTCAGACACATGCCTTAATTTTCAGGGAAAAGCCTGAAAATTATTTATTTTTTGTTAGGTTTTAAGTTTTTTTTTTTTTAGAGTAACAATTTTTGTTTTAAAGAATGAATGTCATTCAGATTTATATCTCCAAAATCCAGTAAACCCAATCTTTCCAGAACCTTTTACTTATTTTTATAACATTTTCATCAGAAGATGGGGATTAAAAAAAAAAAAACACCAGAAAAAGTATTTCTAAAAGGCTAGTGGTTTGCTTCATTGAGGTCTTCTATCCTGATTATAACCACAAATATAAAGTGGGCAAAAGTGCTTGGTTTTGAAGGAACAAGCCCCAGGATGCATTTAATTCCCTCAGCTAAGTAAACCAAAGGCCTTTAAGAACAGAAGTCTAAACAGAAGCATTCTGCTTTCTGAATATATCCTGACCCTACACTCATTCTGACCACGAGCTATTAAAATATACCCATGTATTTCAGATTATGTTGATTATACAATTAAGCAATTTTATAAGCAAAAATGTTGAGAAATGGATACTTTTAAATATGAAATCAAAAGAAACACTTCCAAAGTCCAAATTAGCAGAGAAACAGCTGCAGAATTACAACCTCCCTTTCTGAAATCACAAATACTATTTTACCTTCAGGAAAATTCCCCCAAAGGGGGATGTCAATCTTTTTAATCCTCGGAACATGGAAAATATATAGATACATCTTGAAGAGAAGGCAGTTTGTCTTTTGCTATTAGCTGTACAAACTACCTATTTCCTAAGTTTTGAATTTTTTTTCTGAATTTGAACAAATGAAAATACCTTCAACTCACAAAAGTTCATGGAGAACAAGTTATGGACCTAAAGACCAATACAAACTGAAAAACAAACAAATCTTTATTTCTAGAAATATACAAAAGAAATCCCTACCCCACCCCACCCCAGAAAAGATGTTATTCTCTCATTTCCCCATCTTCTTCCTCTTCTTCGACACCTCTGATGTAAAGGACATTATTGCACCTGTAAATAGAACTAGAATTAATTTTGTTGTTCCAAGTAGGTAAAAGTCCCAGCATTTACTGTGGTGGCTGTAAATTAGTTTTGTACTGTATTTTTAGGCATAAGAATGTTAAGTATGGAACACCTTTTTACTATTTCTAAACTGTTTTCAGGCTATTGAGAATGTAGCACTCATTTTCATTGTATAATAAAGCAACCCTACTATGTTGTTAAGAAGGCAGACATACTTGCTAAATATTCACAAGAAAAGTAGGGGAATGGAATTTGGAGAAAATATAAGCCAGATTCTATTGAAAACAAATTATCTGGTACAACTAGCCAAAGCTCCTGTAATTTATGAATGTTGAAAAATAGGTATCCAGCTAAGGCCCAGACTGTTTAATTTCAACAAAAGGAACATCTTGAAAATGAACATTTTAAAATATTTAAATCCTTTCTTTGACCATTAATCTAACAATTTTAAGGATTCCTATTTGTAGAACACTGTTAAATAATTAGTGATGTTAAAAGCCAAGGAAAAAAAAGGGGGAGGAGGGATTTGGAAACTGAAGCATCAATCAGTTTGTATCAATAGACATTTCTATGTTTGTGGTAATCTATACACACTGCTGCTCTGAGAGAATTACCTTATTAAAACTTCACCAAGGTGTCCAGACAATGCCCCATCTATGTATTCTTCTGTATTTGCAAGCTTTTAAACAAAAAGAAAATAAATCAGCAAAACTGAATGAGGGGAAAATTGTATAAACCAACTAAATCTGGAGAGTTAACTGAGGCCATTCTATAGAAATACAACTCTATCCACGAATGATTAACAACAAACAGTTTAACATTAAAAATTATTCTAAGTTATATTATTACATCTGTTCAGCCAAGCAACTGACTGATATGTAAAACTGTTACACAATAAAAGTTTGCTTCAAAATGTTTGTTTTTTATACTTTTAAAAATTTCCATAGAGGGATTTTACATAATTTCCCTTTCTGGCAGACTTGAAAATTCAAGCATAGAAAACTATCAACTTATAAGCGGTTGTGATTCAAAAGTTTATTAGTAAATCATTTGTTGTAAAGTTAATGGTTTATAATTCCACAGAGACAAAGCAGTTAGATGGAGATTGTTTTGGAGATACTAAGAAGGACTTGAGGACAGGGCATTTCAAGTGCCTTGGAAATTGATGACCCTGGCTCTTAAGAGATCTAATTTAATTTCAAAAAATGCTTAGCTTTCTGTTTCTTGAATTCAAATGTATCATTCCCATTACTCTCTTGCTCACTGGCCATGATTCCTATTATTATTCTTTGGCTCAGGAATGGAACAAGGAGTAAATGGAAAAAGAACAGAATGTTCTGTCAAATGCAAAAAAGCTCAAAGAGAGAAGGGAAAAGAGAAAGTTGTTAAAGACAATAAGGATCAGTAGAATGCAAATCCCTTGAGGCTAAAGGACTGGTTTTTTTGATCCTAGTATTCACAGACCCTGCACAGGGGTGGGAAACCTGTGGCCTCTAGGCCAGGCTACAGGCTCCCCACTCCTGCCCTAGTACAATGTACTACAGTAAACACTCAATAAATGCTTACTGAATTCAACGTGAAAAAAGATTGTTTGAAATAGAAGTGAACAAAGTCAAAAAGCAGGAAGAGCAAGGATCGGTGGATTGCTCCCATCAGGCACTGGGTAGTGCCATCCACAGAAGACAACCTGGCTGTCATCAGGAGCAAGGAGTGGCCAATGTGGTTGTTTGAGCAATGGAAGCAATATTTGGTATGTATTGGATATTTACAAGTCTGCTTTTTGTAACTTACTTTGGAGGTAGTTATTTTCATCTCAGAATATCATATAGTCAGTTTTCTAAGTTATCAGTATTTTATAAATGGAGGCAAAACCAGCCTAAAAACTGTCCTGCCCGCTGGATGCAATGACAACATTCTTTTTTCCTGGCATTATCTAGCTAGAGCAAAGATTCCTTCGCTGGAGAAAAGCTTGCCATTGGCATCCTGGGGTACTGGGGTACATGGCTGTAGTCACAATGTTCCTCGAGGCAGAAGTGATGGAGGTGGGAAATCTAGGCTGTTGGCAGTGACCACCCTCCCTGCTTCCCAGAGCTATCTTTTATATAATCGGTACTGGTTTGTGATAGAGGTGAGGGAAAGAGCCCACCTTTTGTTTTCTATTGCCAAACCCACTAGTAAAGGCCTGCTCTGACACCCAATGAAATGGCTCCAAGTTACCATGCAGGCCCTACTGAGGTGGAAGTGGCCTATGGGACAGCAGCTGGAGCACGGCTGCACCTAATCAGAGAGGCTCAGCTTCTGAAGGGTGGAGACCAGGGGAGAACTACCTAAGGTAGGGGTTAACCTTTTTTTTGGGGGGGGGGTGGGCTCTTTTGGCAGTCTGATGAAGCCTATGGATAGAGTTTTTCTCAAAAAACATTTTTTTTAATGCAGAAAATAAATTTTTCCTCAAAGAAAATTTATCACATGCCTCTAACTCATTTAAGAAAAACATTCTCTTTTTTCAAGAGCTAATTTCAATTGTGCTTTACTAAGACAATACTCTGAAGAAATAGCTACAAGTCCATCTCTAGTTACTTTCTTCAATATTTCATCAACACATTTATTTAAACTGAAAGCACTTGGTTAAATTCACAATACATTCCAATTTTGAATTTGTTTTCCTAACAATCTTTCATTTTCCTCTTCAGAAGCTTTTTCACCCTTTACTAGTTGCTTGTGAACAACCGTGAATCAAGGGACATTTAGATCACAGAAAACCTGAAGTATTAAGTAATCCAAAGGACAGCGAGAGGGCACACGGGGTGAATAAGTGGATTACAGCTTACTGCCAACATGCCCAGCAAATGTTACGGCCAAGCTGGCTCCTCTCTGCTGTGGTGGTGGTTCAGCCCTTTCAGTTGTGTCCAACTCTTCATGATCCCATTGGGGGTTTTCGGAGCAAAGACAGTTTGCTACTTTCTTCTCCAGCTCATTTTACAACTAAGGCAAACAGGGTTAAAGGACTTGCCCAGGGTCACACAACTAGTTAAGTGTCTGAGGCCCAATCTGAACTTGGATCTTCCTGACTCCAGGCTCCATTCTACTGTGCCACCTAGTTGCCCTCTTTACCTCAAGTAAATTTAGACATTATAGCCTGAAGCTTACAATGAGAGGAACTAAGGCTTCGTTCATTAAAATGATGACTACATTTCCCAGCAATCGTGGAGGAAGCCCCAGCTCTCAGACAGCAAGTGAAGCCAGCCACACCGGCTGGGGTTGAGCTTACTTGCATGTTCATGTAGCCATCCACAGAGACCAGGTAACCTTTGTACTCCATTCCCCACTTAAGCTTCACCATCACCGGCTTCCCTGTCAGTCCATTCAGGAACGGTTTGGGGTTGAGGGGTAAACTCTGCACAAAGAACAACAGTTTGAATGAGATAATGAAAGTAATACATCAGTCAGGAGAGACAAAAAGTCATTAAGCTGGCTTTCACAGGATCTCAAGTAATGGAAGAACATTAGGGTTCATTTAGGCCAACAATCTTTTTTGACAGATAAGCCCAGAAGTCCATTCCCCATTCCTTCCTAACTCACCCTAAATTACATCCAGTATCCCAGTACCCAAACTATACCAAGTCCTGCTACATTAAATCCCTTTAATTTCTGATTTGCTGAAATAGAATGCGGTGAGACAGATAAATTAACATTAGTTTAATCAACAGTTCCAGATTCCTCCTTCTCTACCAAGCCCCCAAAATAACAGAGGCTTTAGAAAGAATAAAGACCATATCATTTTTACAGAAGAAGAAACCAAAGCTCAGAGACTGTATGCTGCTTGAGGGCAAGGACTGTCTGCCTTTTTTGTATCCCCAGTGCCTGGCCCAAGGCAAGCACTTCATAAGTGTTTATTGACTGACCTGCCATAGTTTCCACAGCTGATAGAGGGGCACAGCAGGGACCTGAACCCTGATTCTCTAAGGCCAAAGCTATGTTCCCTACATTGTGACAACCTAAGTCAGTCACCTCCACACCACAAGGCATTGTAGAAGGCCAATAGTGAAGGAAAACTCGCATAGATATGTATATTTTTTCTTTTAAGGGCTATAATTAAGAAAATGGCCAAAGTAAGAGGAAAATGGTGGGGTTTTTTTGCATTTGAGGAAACTGAAGCTCAAAGACTGGATAGCCAGGAGTTGCCTTAGGTGATATGAGGATTACCTGATCTTAGATTATTATTATTACAAATAATGGCAGTAAAACAATATCACAGAGCGCTGAAACCCATGAGCTGAATCACACAGCGTCTAAGGCCCCTTTTAGCTCCAATTCTATGCCTAGGGCTGTCTCTCTTGAGCCTCAGTTTCCCGGTCTGTAAAGGAGTCGGCCCCTCCGGCCAGTGAGGCTCGTTTAAGCTCTAGAATCCGCCCAGGGTTTCCCTGGGCCTCAGTTTCCTGGCCTGTAAAGTGAGGGGTCGGCCCAGACGGCCGCGGAGGCCCCCCTCCAGCCACAGCTCCGCAGCCTCCGAGATCGCTATACCTGGGTTAGGTTCTTGGAGTCCACGGAAAGTTCCCTTCTGGCTCCGCCCCCCCCAATCCTTTCAAATGGCCGCTTCCAGGAGGCTCCCAAGCCGAGCACTTGGGCGAGACCAACTGGAGTCCGGGGGGGAGTGTGGGCGGGGAAAACGGGGCATGATGACAGGCTCGCGAGCCGCTCCTCTCGCGAGACTGGGGAGTGAGGTGGGGGGACAGGGAAGAAAGGGCCGAGCGAGGCCGCTCCCGCCCCCCAGAGCAAATGAATGGACAAGGCGGGAAGCGAGAACCCGTGCGGACGCTCTTCACGCCGCTACCACGGCGGCCGCCGCCGCCACCGCCGCCTCCTTACCATCGTGACCACCAAAGAGCGCCACGGGCCGCCCGCCGCCGCCGATTCTCCTGCGCCCACGTGAAGCTAGCCGCTGCCGCCCCTGCCTCCGCCTCCCTCTAGCCGGCAATCGTACGGAAGGCAGACAAATGGCCGCCAGCCGGGAACGTGAACTTTCACCCCTCACCCCGACTCCCTTGTCACTGCTCTCCTCCCCCGCTCTCCACCTCCCGGGCCTCTCGGATTGGATGGAAGCAGGTGGGTGGTGATTGGATGCGGGGCGGGGTGGAGCCGAGCGGGATGGCGCGTGCTGAGGCTACTCAGTGCGCAAGCGCGCGCTCCTGCGTCGAGCACGCCCTACTGACGCCTTGGTCTCTTAGAAGCTCCGTGTGACGGACGCTCCCTTACGCTCCCCTCAAACACCTGGCGGAGATTTTTGAAAACTTTTCCCCCTAAAGTGACTTGGTCATCTCTTTGCACTTGAATGTTTTCCTGTGCCCTAATCCTGGAAACGACTCTTCCTGACCGGACGCTGCCTCTGCGGACGGGGCAGGGCACCAGAAGCGGCCTCCCTGGAGGAAGGGGGTGGCTCTAGGTATCCAGTCCCCGGGGCCTCGTTGTTGGCCCTCCTCCGGGGCCTTGGTTTGCTCTTTCCGTCACCGCGAGGTTGTGGGGCCCCACGGGAGTGCGGGGAAGCGGTCTGGGACCCGTGGCTGGTCAGGCTCCGCACGTGGCCAAGCCCCGCCCCCCCACTTCTCTGGGTCCGCGGGCAAGTCCCTTCGGGTCTGAGCCTCAGTTTCCTAATCCTAAAAAAAATAAATGTATAAAAGGGAGTACCCCTCCAGCAGTAAATCGCTTTCTACTCTTTCTTTGTGCTGTGATTGGAAAATCATAGCTTGGAGCTGGAAGAGTGTTAAGACCAGCCTGCCCTTCATTTTCGTGTTTTCAAATACATAGGATTACATCTCAATGTGTTTATGTCAAATAATATATTGTTGAAATATTATTTGGCTTGATTTTGTTGAAATTTGGTTTGTTAAACTATAAATCAAAATTATTTAATTCTCACAACAACCCTGGGAGGTAGGTGCTATTATTTTCCCTGTTTTACAGAGGAGGAAATGGAGGCATACAGAGGTTAAGTGACTTGCTTAGGGACAGCAGGCTAGTAAGCATCTGAGGCTGGGTTAGGCCCAATTCATCCCACTTAACCCTTAATTAATCTACGGTGGCTCTCTATTAGTTGCAGGAGCAGATCACCTTAATCTTAAAGCTTAAGCTTAGATAATTTAAAACTGCACCAAGAGTTTTGGAACATTCTGTATAAACTCTGGCATTATGACCCCTCCTACCCTTCCAGATTTCTTGCATCAACATGCTGTACCATTACTCTTGACAGTTACGTCAGCAGGCATTTCTTAAGCCATGCTATGTGCCAGGCACTTGTGTTAAGCAATGAGGATAAGAAGAAAGGCAAAAAGTAGTTCTTCTTATCAAGGAGCTGATAGCCTAATGGGGGAGACAACATAAAAACAACTGTACAAAGATATACAGAATAAATTGGAGATTATCAACAGAGTGAAGGCACTAGTATTAAAGAGAATAGGTGTTATAAAATTGGCCCCAGACTCAGTTCTTAAGACTGGTGTTTCAAAGACTTTTTATTAAAGAGGTTGAAGGGCATCCTTTTGATTCTCCAGAGAAGCAAACACATCTCCTTGGAAGGGGAGAAAATGCAGGCCTAAAAGAAGCCAGAGCAAGTTTTATAGTTAGTAATTGCTTAACTCCTCCCTTCTGGATCAGGATTGGTCCTAATCCTTCTGGGTTACAATCTTCCTTATATGCCCCACCCCTAACACACATTACGTGCCTAGAGTTGAGTTATCACTTCCCCCCCCTCCCCCACAGAAAAGTTAGCCTGTCTGTACTGATTTCTTATCTGCTTATGTGGAAACAACTCACTTCTCACAATAGGGAAAGGTTTCTTGTAAGCAGGTGATATTTTAGCAGGGAACTGAAGGAAGTCAGAGAAGCCAAGAGTTGGAGATGAAGAGGGGGCAGATTCCAGACTTTGGGGGGGGCGGGGTGCAGTGAGTGAAAATGCTTGGGAGGTGGAGTGTCACTTAGATCCCATTTATAGAGAGGAGTAAGGTATAAGAAGACTGGAAAGGTAGAAAGGGGCCAGATTAAGAACTTTAAAAGGGAAACAGAATTTTATATGTGATCCACTATCCTTCATGCCTTGAATGCTCTGTCTCCAAAGCACATCTCTTAGAATCCCTAAGGGAGGCCTTTCACCCCAACCCATCTAAGCTTATCATCTACCTACTCTATAGCTTGTATGTTTCACATGGATGTTCCTGCCCCACCATTCAAATATAAGCTGCTCGAATATAGAGATTTTTTTTTTTTGCTGTAGTTTGTATCCCCAGTGCTTGACACAATAAACACTAGAATTCTTCTCGATTGATTTTACAGTTGAGAGAACAGGCCCAGGGAGAGAAGTTGTCTTGCCCAGGTTCATACAGGTAGTAAATGGCAAAGCCAAAATTTGTGCTTAGATATTCTAAAATCCAAGACTCTTTTCACTATACCATATTCAGTTAATTCAAGTCAACAATCTTCGAGTGCCTACTCAGTGCTGGGGACTGCTAGACCTTGGGAATACAAAGACAAAATAAAACACAGAAGCTGACTGTTGAGTGCACAACAGTTTGATTAGAGTGAGAACTCTAATAACTAGGGGAACTGGGAAAGGCTGGCTGATGGAGGTAGCCTAGACCAAGTCTTGAAGGAGTTAGGAACATGGTCCTAAGACTTGCTCAGCCTGATCATCCAAGTCAGACAACCTTAGTAACGTAGGATCACAGCCTCAGAACTCGGAGGGAGCCTGGGCTTCATCGCTTTACAGAGGGGGAACCTGAGGTCCGGTGAAGTGACTGGACATTCTAGGTTATAAAGGTAGTAAGTGTCTCGCTAAGATTCAAACCCATGTTTTCTGACTCCCCAGGTATCATCTCCAGCCCCTTGACATGTATTTAACCTGGTATCAGTCCTTTAGGATTGGTCAGATAATATCTGAGAGGAAGCCTGTTCAGAAAGATGAAAGTCACATTCCTTTATATTCTCTCTTGGTCAGAACACCTCTGGAGCATTGTGCTTAGTTATTGGTGCCACATTTTATATAGGACATTGACAAGCTGGAATTTGTCCAAAGGAGGGCAACCAAAGTAGGGGGCTGGAGACAATGACATTCCAGTTGAAGGAAGATGGGGATGTTTTAGCCTGAAGAAGAGAAGACTTATCAGGGAGATGAATCTTCCATAATAGGATTTTCTTCCGTAATCTACCTATGAATCAACAAGCATTTATTAAGTATCTGTTACATGCCAGGGATTGTGCTAGGTACTGAGGATACAGAAACAAAAATGAAAGGTCTCTTCCCTTGAAAAGTTTTCATTCATTCTCAGTAGAGACAGCCTGAATATAAACAAAATATAAGTTAAATTTTTTTGGAGTGGGGGGAAGAGTGCTAGCATGTGGTAGGATTAAGAAAAACCTTATATGGAAAATGACACAAACAGTTTTGAAGAAAACAAAGTAGGTTTCTATTGATTGGGGAATGAAAAAACAGCCAATGAAATCAAATTGAGTAATTGTAATGACTAGTCTTTGCCCAAAAAAGAGACGAGAAATCACCTCTCTCCTTACAGTAGGGATTTTTATAGACAAAGAATGTTATAGACAGTCAGATATGGTCCCTGTATTGCTTGGTTTTAACTTTTTTTTTCTTTTGGCTAGGCAATGGGGTTAAATGACTTGACCAGGGTCACACAGCTAGTAAGTGTTATGAGTCTGAGGCCATTTGAACTCAGATCCTCCTGAATCCAGGGCTGGTGCTGTATCCACTGCACCACCTAGCTGCCCCTTAACTTTTTATTATAAAGGAGGGATTGCTAGAGGGAGGTGGGCATATCTGAAAATTGTCATGTTAAAACAAAAGGCATCAATAAAATTTATCCTTAAGGAATACTGATTTTCTTTTTATATGTAGGTCTTTTCTTGTTAACAGTATATCTTGGAATATATTCTCTTTAGCCTCTCTAGGCAACTAAGACTGTAAGTGGTTAACCTACCTTAGGAAAGGAGTTTCCTTATACAAAATTCCATATACCAATGAAATCACAGGTCCAGTTCCTCTCCCTAATTAATTAGTTACCAAGTCTTATCAATTCTCTCTAGGAATATGAACACCTTAGTGACTTTTTTACATATTATCCCCATTTTACAGATGAGTGAGCAAGAATGGATAATCGACTTGCCCATGGTCACAAAGCTAGCAGCTGCTTGAGACTGGTTTCAAATTAGGTTTCCTAAGCGCATGTTGAGAACTCTTGTTTGCCAAGCCATGCTGCCCCGGAGAGGTGAAAAAGTAGAGACTTCAGTATTTATTGTCTTCTCAATCCTCCCCTCCCTTTTTAAAGAATGCTTTCCTCAATTTTTTCCTCTGTTTTAATTTGTTTCCTTCAAATAAGTTGAAAAATGATCCCTCAGTACTAGCAAAATTCTGTCACTGTTAGCATGTACCTCATCTGTATATACTTGAACTGGTCCAGCTTCACCCTATTTTTGTTTTCTTTAGTGCTTTTTCCACTTCCTCATGGGATGTTTTATGGACAGATGGTGTAGTCCTATGGTGATCCATGGGAAAAAGGGTTTTGTTTTTGTTTTTTTGATAGAAATCTTAACAGATTCTTTCAGTTTCACCTTTAAATGCTTTGGGGATGATCTGTCTTATTTAGGTGTTGTAACAAGCTTTCTGAAAACTCATGTTTCTTTCCATACTTCTGGATATTTCATGAGACAATTCTGTTGTTCCACAATATTCTTTGGGAATGTTGCAAATGAGTTTACATTCTAATCTATTATCCATTACCCTTGGCTGCCATATCTGTTTGGCAAGGAGAGCAAATGTTTGCTGACTGATGAGACTCTACTACATCTAGCTGGTTTCAGACACCACCCCCCAACCTTGCATCACCCCAGGTGTCTTCCTGCCATGCTGCCCTGCTAGTTCTGCACCCTCTGAAGAGGATTTTCAGGGAGCCCTGAGGAGCTAAGCCACTCAGCTGGGAAACTCCTGTCCTGGAGCTGTGTTGTCCTAATTATTTCTAGTAGGCTCTAGACTCCTG